GGGCTTAGGGGGTTTAGGGTCTAGGGTTTACGGTTTAGCGGGATGTGGAGGAACTTCAGGGTTTTAGGGTTTATAGTAAACCACCCCAAAAAAAATTTGGAAACCGGATTAAGGAAAACAAATTAGTGCTGGGATTCCTTCAACAGTACTCTGAAGGATTGAGGCTATGGGGTTTCCAACTTTTGGGCTTGCACTGTAGGGCTTATGGGGTTTAGGGTCTTCACTTCAATCTGTCTAGCAGGTTTCAGGGTTTGTGGCCTAATTTACGATGTTACCAACCGGATTATTGCAATGTGTACATCGCTTGGAAGAACGTATCACAAAATTATCCCAAAACAGAACACATATGTGTGTTACATACCTCCAATTGAAAGAAATCAAGCAAGGAACATGAAACAAACCTCCTTAACCCAGGCCACCGGAAGGATCTAAAAAGTAGATCCCCTACTTTGGGGACCCTATACTACAAAGGGGTACTTTAAAGGAACCCCCTTATGGGATCTATCATCTATCTGTTAGATCCTTCCGGTGGTCTGGGCCCGAAACCCTAAATGGGAAGAAGAGCCGAGATGCTTACCAGTGCCTCGGCTTTCAAGCGGGAGTCCGTCTGATTTATGCAGGCAATGTCGAGGAAAGCCAGCTTCTTTGACCTCCATAGCACTAAAGCCGTGTAGTAGCCAAGTATTCCGGCAGGGGTGCACCAAATATATCCCGTGTTGTCGCCGGCCCAAACCGGCAAAAGCCCAGTGAAGCTCAAGAAGAATGCTAAAAGGGCACACAGCGTGCCAACAACGCTGGCAGGTAAGCCGTTGTGCAGGAACAGGATGTTCAGATACTTCAACCATTCCTTCGTGCGCCAGCTGTGGGACCAGAACTCGTGAAAATGCGCCGTCTTCTGGGTAAGAGCATGCATTCCCTCGAAGTCTGCATGCGCCCACTTTCGAGGTGCGCGCTGCAGCGCCCGATGCACTGCGATCCCGCGGAAGATATCTGGGCTGGTGGCATCCATCGCCGTCAGGATCCCAATCCAGCTCTCCTGAGTTTGAGTTTAGGGTTTAGGGTTTAGGGTTTAGGGTTTAGGGTTCAGGGTTCAGGGTTCAGGGTTCAGGGTTTAGGGTTTAGGGTTTAGGGTTTACCTGTAATGTAGAGGCCTTCATAACTACCTATACTTTTTGGGGGGTTCCTTAGTGTATTTATAGTACTATGTACTCCAAAACCCTATTCTAATTATCAAGGCCCCTACAGTAGCTCAATTATCTATGGCAGAGCAAGGAACCCAGCAACATCTTCCTTGTGGGATCTACATATCAAGGTACTATGTTGTCAAGGACCAAAACCAGTCTAGACTCCCTATAATATAGGGCCCTAACCGAAAGTATGGAGAAAGGTTAAACTTTTTCAATGTTTTTTGAGCCTTACAGGGTCTATGTCAGGGGTAGGGTTGCGCGCTATTTGCGGCTATGTGTTCGTGATAACATTCGGGCATACAAAACCAAAGGGGCTATTTGTGGCAGTCGCTGCTGGTTGCTCTTTCTTTTGGGCATGCCAATTAATTGGCCGCCCTGCCCCCCCCCCCCCGGAAAGATTTCATGCCGACCCCTGTTTTAGATGGTTTATGGGAATCACAAACGATCACTTACTTGTAAAGCCTTACGGCACGTTACCGTCAGCAAATCTGTGGATTGCGGCTTTTAGGTGATTAGGGCCGAGTCTTTCGGGCGCAAAGCTTAAAAGGCGGGGTCGGAATGTGAAGCCTTCAGTAGAGCTAAAGTTGGAACCCTTTCTCAGAAAGGATTGCTTGGGCGTTGAGGATTGCGGGAAAAGGTTCAGGAGAAGCTATATGCGACTTGCAGGCTGGGGCATTCGTAGAGACTACTTCTTCTTCGATGCAAAAGGACATTAGCTCATTTGGGCGCTTGAGGGGCTCCGGTGGCACTAATTAGTGCTGTGAAGGATCTTAGAGAACATGGGGCCGAAGATCTTTTCCCTAGTGCATGACAGAACTGTTGCAGGTTTTGCAAAGACATTAGGAAGCTTTGGCAACTCTCAGACTTTAGACTATTAGAGGCCTTGTCAAGCGCGGAATGGCTTTGACATAAAAAGTAAACCGAGCGACACCCCAAAGCCGAAACCACTTTGAACGCTTATACCCTGTAGCACTAGTCCGGAAATCCTGCTTGAACCCTAAACCCTAAACCGTCCAATCGAGGAAACATTCTTGGAGAAACATGCAGAAGCTGTCACCTGGCGCTCAAGCTGCCAGAACTATTCGCTCAGTGCTATTGCATGGAATGGACTAGGATGCTAACCCCATAAGACTAATAATCACAGTGCTACATAACCCTGCCAGTCGAAATCCCGAAATAGGTCCCTAGCAACACTATTCTCCGCAGGCCTTCGGCAGGATAGCAGTTTTTAGTGTCGATTAGAGTGTGGTTCGACTCGAGAACTTTGGGGGCAGACCATACATTTTCAGACCCCTGTATGAAAGCCCTATACTCTGTTGATGATATGAATCCTGCATTACCTTAAGGACCGTAAACTATAAGACTTATGGTGAATTTCTTAATGGGTAATGCCGGATATATATATATATATCATCATCATCATCATCA